ACAGATTTTTGACGGCTACACCAAATTTTTAGCGACGGAATTTCCTGTCAGTGATTAGTAACCGATTACCGACGGAAATAGTTTTGCAACAGATTATCGACAGAATCTATTTCTAACACACTACCGACGGAATAGCTAAGTAACAGATTATCGACGGATTATACAACATTTTTACTAGCGGATTTCCGTCAGCACACCGTCGCTAATAGTGATTTTATTTTTTATAAAAAAATTATATGAAAATTTGCACTTTTTACTATATTAAATAAACAAAAAACATAATAAAACAAAACAATTCAGAAAAAAACTAATCGAAATTGCTAAACATATTTGGTGATTCATATACAATGATAACATGTTTGCAAACTTTTTCGAAATATGAAATACTAATATACACACCACATTAATCATACACATATATGCATATTGCAAGTTATCCATAAATTAACAAATTCATTGAATTAAATGACACATAATCCATAATATACAAATGACCATATGTTTAATTAATATGAAAATTTCCAAAAAAAAACACTAAATAAACCAAGAAATTAACTGTAGCTAACTTGTACATCCCAAATAACTAGCCTATACAAAAATGAATCGTCAACCATACCATGAATATAATGAAACAATTTTATGAATAATTACACAAAGAAAAAGAAGCAACAAAGTAAAATATTAGAAATAAGGATAATAAAGAATCAGTCATATTAGAAAATAACATACCTGCAAAAGAAGATTTAAGATGAATCACGTGCCAATATAATGAGAATGGGACCATTCTCCTCAACTGGATCCGCTTCTAGAAGAAGGTGTCAATTTTCTTATTTTTAGGGTTCAAAAAAATGATCAAAGCCCTGCCCGGATACATAAACTTTTTCATTATATTCAATAGGGGAAAAAAGACTCCCATTTGCAAATAAAAATAAACAAAACAAGAGTTATATGATTATTAAGGGTATAAACTTTGGGTCAAACTTGGTAGTATAAAATTCAAACCTCACTCCAGTTATAAGCTTGTTCAAAAGTACATTCGGATTGTGATGTTGGGTTGGAAAGAGCAAAAATTATAGGTTTCTACAAAACCAGTAATTTAGAAGGCTTAATCGGAGGGTAGTTTGGGTATAAATAAAATGTTACCTTGTTAAAAGATGAAATAGCTTTAGTAACTTCTTTAGTAAATGTATCCAATCAATACTGTTGGCCTGATTTCTTGACAGCATCCAGAAGTTCATGTTCATGGGCCCACAGCTTCTTGAAATGTTGAAGTGAGTCCAATAATAATTAGCCCCTACAATAATACAGTTTTGTTGAAGTTAAAGAATAATAATAATAATAACGGTGATATGAAAGAGTTTTTAATGTTTTTAATCTTTACCTTAGAGTCAACATGACATAATGACAACCAACTTTCACCTTGTCAATTGTGAAGTTATGATGCGATATTTAAAAAATTGACCACCTTCTTGACCAATGGCACAAAATGACCACCAATTTTCACCTTGTCAATTGCAAAATTCCAAATAGTTGTGAAATTACCTTTTACCAAAAAAAATGCGTCAAAAGAATATTAAAAAAAAAAAAAGAATACAATTGACACAAAATGTAGCAAAAATATAATGACCACCAATTTAAGAACGATTTTGTGAAATTTGTGGCCAATTTGTTAACTTTCACATCATAAAGTGATCAATTTTTCATTAACCTTATTTTTTTTACCTGTTTTGATATCTCTAGTGCTATGAGTTCAACAATGTCTGTGTCAGCCTGTAAAAAAAAAAGCTTAATTTTAGACAGAATTAAAAACAATAAAATTGACACAAAATGTAACAAAAGTATAATTATTTTACCTATCCAACTCTAAGGAATAGAAATATATGGTCAGCCAAAGATCCACCAACTAATTTTAGTGCAGAAATATGCCCTGCAAGAACAACCGATATTGTCCTCTAAAACAAAATAACAAAAGCTTAATAAAGATTCAAAACCAAACAATGACTTTTTTTTATGAAATATAATTTTTTGAAATGATTTATTACCAAAAAAAATATAATGGGAGGAATATAATTTGATAATTGAGAGGAATATAATATATAACTATATATACAACGTCCCAATGATTTTAAGGATTTATTTTTTGAACTATTAACATATACCGATAACATGTGTTGAATATTTGGAAGGGCATTTTGAGCATTTAAACTATAATATATGTTAGAGGGTACCTATAAATTTCTAGGAATAATCAGGGAGGGTATCTTTTGTGAAAATTTTGGTAGGGATACCTTGGGAGAGGCTAGCTGTAGTAAAATTATTAGGGTTTTCTATTGTTATTTTGAGTATTATCAATTTAGAGAAGCTTTGTATTTTCTGATTTCATCTTTTAAGTGAGTCTAATGGAAAATTTGGAGTAAAATGATCTTAAGTTACAATGCTTTGTTACTGGGATTTTGTAAACAATAATGACCATCACTTTATAAAATAGCTGCAGCAACGACTTCGACATTAGCGGAGGCGGTAGCAAGAGAGCAAGGCGATGTTGGATTTCGTTTATAGAGAGAAAGAAGGGAGATCAATTTTACCTGGTTAAGGGGAGGTGGGTTGCAGGTTGGACCAGTAGTGGGAGGAAGAAGGTATCTTGTGCCGACGACTTTGGAGAAGTTGAACGACTTTACTACCGGTGGGGATGGCGGAGGTGACGTCATTGGCGGAGGGTAGTGGTCGACTGTTAGTAGATCAAAGATGTGGGAGGGAAAGTGCAGGGCAAAATCGATAGATCACATTTTTTTTAATTCACATATTTACCAAATTGGCCTTGTTATTTAAAAACTAAAAAAAATGGAATTTTACCAATAGAATTACAACGGAATGAAAAATTGTTTGACTTCCGTTGGTAAAGCGTCGGTAACTTGTAACAGATTACCAACGGAATGGTACTGTGTTGCTAAACCGTTGGAAAACCGTCACTAACATGCATATAACTAATTTTTCTTAATTTGTCGGAAATGTGTTGGTATTCCGAAATGTGTTGGTATTCCGTCTCTGTTTTCCGACGGATTTTTCCATTGCAAAAATTATTTCGGTAATACCCTCTTTTCTAGTAGTGCAACTTTGTGACCTTTTAGTTTTTCTTAAAATTTTAAAGTTTTGATAATGAAGATTTTAAGATCATCTCATATATTTTTTGTTTTTCGTTTTTCTTATTTTATTAATCTATTTTCATTGTTTATTCTATAAACTCGTGGTTTTCACATGTCTTTAACCTAATATATATATATATATATTATATATATATAATATAATATATATATATATAATATATATATATATAGAGAGAGAGAGAGAGAGAGAGAGTAAATTACTGAAATCGCCACTACAAGAATAACCGGCAATAGCCGCGACACCTTTAGCGGCGACGGAGACTTTTAGCGGCGACAAAAAACAAACGCGTTTTCTAGTCGACAATAAAACCCCCCCTCTGCTCCATTTTTCTGTGTTCTCCCTTCTTTCTCACCATTATCGTCAACCTCATCGGAATTTGACAAAGAACTTCGCAATTTCACCCATCTTTGCTCCATTTTTCTCCTTTTCCTTTCCTTTTCACTTCTCCTTACTAAATTTCTAGCATTGATGTGTATTTATATGTGTATTTTGTGTTTGTAGATATGGATGTGTATTTGTATGTGTATTTGTATGTATATGTGTATTTTGAATGTATTTTATGTATGTATATGTGTTTTTGTATGTATAATCCTATGTATATATGTATTTTGATGTATATGTATGTGTATTATGTATGTGTATGTATTTTCGTATGTATATGTGTATTATGTATGTGTATGTATTTTCGTATGTATATGTGAATTTTGTATGTGTATTATATATGTATCTACATATAATAGCAGCGACGCCTTTAGTGGCGACGGAGAGCATTAGCGGCGACGTATGGAGCATCAGCGACGACCAATGGAGCATCAGCGACGAGCCAACAGCGACGACCCTTTAGCGGCGACATGTTGGACCTTTAGCGGCGACGCCTGTCGCTGGTAATACTCTTATTTCTTGTAGTGGTCCCTATGGTTTGGTCAAAATTGCACATTTGGTTCTTAACTTTTTTTTTTGCACTGGGATTGTCCCTGTGGTTTGATTTTGTTGCATTTTTCGTCCCTTACATACATAAAGTTAGGGACTAAACGTGCAATTTTGACCAAACCATAGGGACGAAAAACGCAACAAAATCAAACCATAAGGACGATCTGAGTGCAAAAAAAAAAGTTAGGGACCAAACGTGCAATTTGGATCAAACCGTAGAGACGATTTCAGTAATTTACTCATATATATATATCTATATATATATATATATATATATATAATATATATATATATATATTATATATATATAATTATATATATATATAAAAAACGTCACACTTACAAGAATATAAAAAGACTTCAAGTATATAGAAACAATTACAAAAAAAAATTAAAAAATGTAGTCAACTTGCCTACACCTTTGAAATGGAGATTTAAGATTTTTTTTAATAAATCTACTCATTTTTAAACGTGCAAAAATGCCAAAAAGAATTTTTTTGTCTGAGGGAAGAATTATATATGTTTGGTCCTGAGTATACTGGCTATTTATATTTACATTGCTCATTTTGGTAATGTAATGTAATAATTCATTCATCATTATATGAATTTTTTATCGAAGGAAAAAAATAAAGGGGACATTAATTTCTTATGAGTCTAATTTTGTACATATCTAGACATCACGAGTCCAAGACCATGAAGAATTGATGTGCACGATCAGAGGCACACTATAGCAACTGCGTGGCTAGGTCACCAATTGAAATTTTTTTGTGAGCGTAGCCGATAACAATGATCATTCAGGTACCACACCAAAAGAAAATTTTATGAAGAAAATTTAGCTTCGAAAATCAATAAATAAATAGAAATATGCATTTTATTTCTTACATTTAAACCTTTTTATTATTGATTTCAATCAAGCCTACATAGATTTTGCTAAACTTATTCCAACCCATGCGAGTGGGGCGGGTTTTTTTTACTGGTTTATATAAAAACACTAGCATTGTATATTATTCACTGAGCGCTGAGATAAATCGATGCGGTCTTATTTCTTAATATATGGCATAAGTAACTAGCAACATCGTCATGCATCTCCAGAATAATATATCCCATTTATTGATGTCAGAGGTTTTGATAGAGCTCTGTTGAAAGCCGAGGAGTCATGATCACTTCAAGTGGCCTTACTTTAGGCAAGGCAATGCCCAAGCCCTCGCTCATATCCACAGGCTTCCCCATTGGTGTCGACAAATCAAACCCCTGAAGCAACCGAGCAAGTGTCAAGTGAACTACTTGGAAAGCAAATGTGATTGCAGGGCACATTCTCCTTCCAGTGCTGAAAGGAATGTATTCAAAGTTCTGACCCTGGTAATTTAAGTCCGAGTGTTCCTCAAGAAACCTCTCTGGTCGAAACTCATGAGGATCCGACCAAATTTGTGGGTCGCGATGTAGCTTCCATAAGTTAACAATCAGACGAGTCCCTTTGGAGATATGATAACCCCCAATATAGCAGTCTTCAATGGCCTCATGAGGTCCTGCCAAGGGACCTGGTGGGTACATTCGGAGAGTTTCCTTCACTATGGCTTGTAGATACCTTAGGTTTTTTATATCTGATTCTTCCACCCATTTCTGTTTTCCTACATTCATATCAAGCTCCTTCTGGGCAGCTTTTAATATGTGAGGGTTGTTCAGTAGTAAAGAGAGTGCCCACGTAAGTGTCAAAGCAGTGCTTTCTGAACCCGTTAGCATGAGAACCTATAGAAATAATTTAACCTTTATATATATAACAGGTAAAAAATAGCATTTGCTTTCAAGAGACGATTAAATGTAGAAACAGAGAGAGCAAAAGTATGTTACTAACCATTGTTGTAGCCTTGATGATGGTTTCACGCCCGTGGCCATACATTTCAGCATCTTTTGACAGGGTTGAGAGCATCACATCCATAAAATCGGCTTCTTTTTCACCATCATACTCTTTTCTCTTCTGAACATGTTCGTCAAGCCACTTTCCGATAACTTCATCAACCTCTTTTGCCACTTGCTTCATAGCTTTCACATACCCTCCAATATCCATCCATTCCAGATATGGAAAGAAATCAGACACAATAAAAACGCCACTAAGATACAGCCCTTTCTTTATGGCTTCATGTACATGTAAGTCTTCGTTGTTACCTTCATTGCCACCCGTGTTAGAAAATCTTTTCCCGGCTAAGATTTTTATAGTTATATTGAACGTAATGTTCTCAAACCACTTGCTCATGTCCACTACGGATGCTTTGTTTGCTTTCTTTGAAGAGAACAAGGAGAGCTCGTTAATGAAGCTCTTCACTTCTGAGCTACGAACATTCTTTGAACTTTTCAAGACGATTACTTGTAAATAGTTCAGAAGTGACCAACTTTCGGATCTCTCGCCAATATGGTCCATATGTTGCCAGTGCAAAACCAGCTTTATTATAAACCATGTGCCGGCTGATTGCCATGTTGGGCCTAGCTGCAAAATTCCGGTCATTGGTGGTAAAACAGTCTTTGACCATCTGCCAACTGCTCACAACCAATGCTCGACGACCACCAAGCCGTAGAGTGTAAACGGGTCCGTATTCATCAGCAATTTTTCCAAGTACCCGTGCTAGAGGAGCTTGGCCTCGTAGGAAATGAAGATGGCCGAGAAAAGGCAATGCCCCTGATGGTTCTGGAGCTACTAGTTTGATAGCTTTTTTTGTGTTGTTTCTTATGCTTCTTTTGTAATGACATAGTAGAAGCAAAAGCAATAGCCCTAGAACGGGTAGAAATTGAGTAAAAGCTTCCATGTTGATATGGTTTTGTATTTTCTTTTCTTACTTTGGAAGCATAACCAGCACTTCATATTTATAGTGAATAACATTCTAGTGGATATTTAGGGATAATCGATGACGTCATCACAATTTGAACACCCACAAATATGCATGACAAATATGCATCTTTTAGCTCTCATTCCTTATACCTACAACTAACCATTATAGTGGTGGGTATCACCTCATCACCACATCCAAGTTCTAAACCAATGAGATACCCACCATTATATCCCTCTTATTTTTTAATTTTTAAATTATATATATATATATATATATATATATATATATATTATTGTAGAGAGAGGTAGAAAAAGTTAGAGAGATAACCACTATATCTCTCTTATTTTTTTATTTTTAAATAATATATATATATATATATATATATAGAGAGAGAAAAAAAAATTTTAATTGAATGTTGTGATCTGTGGTATGCACAACAATTCACCACAACCACTACTCACCACTAAACATTAGGATGGTGTTCGTGGTTAATGGTCGTTGTCACATCAACCACGGCCCACCACTAAACATCGGGATGGTGTTCGTGGTTAATGGTCGTTGTCACATCAACCACGGGTATACATGAAGTTCTAAGGCCACATTTGTTTCACAATCGAATTATTGGATGGGACATGTTTTTATCAAGTTGAACTTATATGAGCCATATGAGATTGAACAAATTTAACTTTTATGACTACTTTTGTTGGTAATGAAGGTTATTCACTGCTTTTTCATAGATAGGAGATCTAGAGCGAGGATTTGTCCTTCCATCTTTTTGAGTGGACCTATTAACATCCTTTTCAATTGAATCCCTTGTCATGTCTTATGCTAAATTAAATAACACACAAGACCTAAATGATTTTAATCTCTTGTTATTCATCTAGTTTGATATTTACTTTCAATAAATAAATAAAAACCAAAAAACCAAAAAACCAAAAAAAAAAAAAAAAAAAACAAACAAACCGGAAGAGCTTTAATTGAAAGAGTTTATATGTTATAGATTTTTTACAACACAACAGATCATTATTCAATAGCCAAGCTTTGTTTCAATTTAAATCTCCAAAGCTTGATTTTGAAGTTTGTTTGTGACCATATATATGGATTCTTAAACATTTTTTTTGTATTCCCTAACCTTATGCTTACATTGTTAGGGTCGAAGTGCTTATTTCATACACGGTGCACATTTTGATTCACGTTCTATTAGCTGTCCTATTTGGTTTATTACTAATTTGTTACTCTTAATTTGATAATTTATTATTTTAGACCTTGTTCATATGATTTCTTGTAACTTTTAATTGTCTTGTTCTGCAATAAAGTATTATATGGTTAAATCATCCATTTCATGTTTTAAACGTGTAAATAATGATAGGATAGAGGCAAAATCATGATGTCCTATCGCATATGTTCTTAAACCTCGATGTCACGTCCTTCCTAATTAAAGACACTTCACAACTACATACATCCCCCATACAAACGATAACAAAGATTTGGAAGTACTCTAGATTGGGTCTACAAAGATGTTAACATCTATGTGTATATTATTAGACGGTATTACATAAGTATTTGATATATCCTGGTTTTGGTATTTATGTTTTTGAAATGGGTAAGGATTCAACTTTGTAATCAACTCTATATATTTGCCGATTGAATAATGAGAAAGTGTACTCAAATATATTCTGAGTATCCTATATTGTATCATAATGTAAGGTTAACTACTCAGCTACCGAGAATCACCTTTGGCGACCTTCCACTATTGCTCGTCGCTATTGATCAAAAATGTCGCCGCGTATAACATTGTCGCCGGTATTACCTATTGTTGCGGGTAATAATTTGTGTCGTCGTTAACATTCTTTTTCATTTTTTTAAATAAGCCATTTTTTGGTGCAGAAAAACCGATACGTAATGACATTAAAGTTAAAAAACACGAAAACATTATATGCAGAATAAAAATTATATCACGACATCCAGTTAAGTACCAAAGTGTTATAATTCCATAAAAATACAAAATAAACAACAAAAGTATTATAAAATGTCATAACAAGTCTAACAAAACACAAAATAATCTGACGAATCATCATCTTCGCTCCCCTC